CCCGTGGCACAGGTCGTTGACCCCCACGATGGCCGTGCCCTCTGGTCCGCACACTTCCGCGCACCTCCTGCACGTCGGCGACGTGTTGGGGTTGCCGCTGGAGCTGTCGAAGTCGCTCGTGCCGACGGCAGCCACGAAGTCCCGGTTTGAGAATCTCTCGCCGCAGGCGGTGAAGCCACCCCTCCTGTTGCTGGTGATGTCAGTCGTGCCGCCCACGTAGTAAGTACAACGTCGCGTCACCCACAAAACCACCGGGGCAGTTGCTCCCCGTGGTCGGGCCTGCTCCCCCTCTTGTGTTCTGGTTCCCTATCCCAGTGTTTGGCGTGCCTGCTGTGGGGCACGGGATCGTCAGAGACTGGCCCGGAAGTATCAAGTTCGGGCTCGTGACGTCGGGGTTGGTGGCCAGGATGGCGTCCACCGAAACGCCCGTCCTCTGGCTGATGAGGAAAAGGGAGTCGCCGGGCTGGACGATAAGCGGGCTGATGCACTGGCCTCGGGCGCTACCCAGGAACGCCAGGGCCGTCATCGCCAGCACCGCAGATAGGCATCGGCCGTCCATTGACCTCGGGATCCTGCGCGGGAGCGAAGTTTCAGACTGAGCATGCTGGCACAAGGCAGGGGGTACGAAGTGCGGCAACGCAAGGGACATGTACCGAGGGCGGGTGCCAAGTGGACGACGAGTCATCATCGATATTGCAGCCCACCTGCGATGACTAAGAGTAACGCAAATGGGCTCGACACTGACCGAATGGATGACGCCCCCGAACCCGTCGCGCAAGCACCACCTGGCTCGTGTCAGACGGAATCCGCAAAGCGCTGCTTTTCGCCATTGTGTCAAAAGGGTTTGACACGGCAATCGGTGTTCCCGCCGCCTCTGTGGGCGCTGAGAACTGCCTGGAACTTGGGTCCTCTGGAGACCGCTCGCAAACGCCGACGCCCCAAGTTGGTGATGCGACAGCATACGCGGGAACTGCATCTTGGCGCGCTGAGCGTCAAGAAGGCCAATGGCCGTCAGCAGCCGCAGCGTGGCCCAGCGGCGGCTAAGCAGCATTCACTCATCGTGAACGGAGCGGGCAGCACAACGCCCATGCACCTGTCTCAACACTTTGTAGGGAGCGGCGCAACTTCACAGGGCTCATCGGAGCAGGCGACCCGGGGGTTGGGGGCGCACAGAGAAAAATGTACCTGGGCGTAAGGAGTATGTCTAGGTGGCGCTGGTAACTCCGACCAGAGCAGAGGCCTTGCGTGACTTGCCGAGGTCGAGCCCCCCCCTTGGCCTCAGCCTTAGGCATTCGCCGCCCCGCAACGTGCTTTCCTGGGGCGCCGTCCAACGCGCCCCTGGCAAACGCTGGCGGATGGGCACGCACAAGCAGCTTCAGGCCTTTGTAGCCGCTGAACCCGTCTCATCAATCAATCGTTACGACAGGAAAGTAGAGGGACTTGGCCAGAGCCTTGTCGCCTGATGACATTGTACCGTCGCCTTTACGCGGCAGATCAGCCCATCAACATCGTTGCTTTCCACGGGGCAAGGCGCCTAGCGATGCGCCAATCGCAGCACGCTTGGAGCCGTCATCTCTAATGTGGGCAAAGAAGGCTCGAATGCGATGGGAACGACAGGAACCAGCACGGAGCCCCACCAACAACCCTGCGGCAATCCTCGCGAGAACGGCAACTATGAGGATTGTCCCAACGTGTATCATCTTTGCATCAGCTGAGTCTGCAGTGAAAAACAGCAGCCTGTCGTTCTGAGAGATGGCTGTCGCCACTTGCGACTCGCAAGGGCAACATATCGCTGGCGTATTTTTATTGCATCAATTAGAACTAAAACCTTTCTCGAGGCATATGCATGTGAGTGGGGAGACATGCCATCGAGTAAAACAGCGCAGCTGCATGCCAATACCCCAGAGAATTTGCACCAAAATGCGTGCCAAGTATGTGCCGGGTGGATCTAACGAGGAACTTGCTGCCATGATGCCAGGGCGGTATATTACACTGCCGTATGCTGCGCAACACATTTCTCTGAAGTGCATTTTTCAACGGGAATGTGAACGGAAGATTGAATCGCCTTATGCCGTATTTCTTTCGACAGCCTGGCGGATGAGCAGCCCTAGAGCCAGAACCTGCACTTTAGTGCAACGCAATGGGTACAACTTTTGAAACAACCCTCACAACAAAATCAATGCCCTTGCCCTTGGAATCCTTTGTCTGGCATATCACCACTTCTCAGCGTTCAGCAACAAATGCCAACACGGCGCCTCGCCTCCCAACACTCACTCATCGCTTCTGTCACCAAGCAGGCACCAATTCTGGACTCATCTTATTGTGGTTTGGCCACCCCGAAAGCGTCAATTTTGCATTTCCTCAAACCAATAAACCGATCGTAAGCGAGCCATAAGCCTCTTTACTACTGATGACGGATTCCCTCCTGCATCGTCACTGCTGAGGGTCGCGAGGACCCAAGGGCAGTTTATTTCATATATCCTTGGAATCATAGTTACTTATAAAGATCGTGCCGAAACATGGCCAGACCCTCCGGGTAGCACAGTGAAAGTCTGTAAATGATTCGCCTGTCCCCTACCCCAGAGTGGCTGAAGAGAGCGGCAAAAGATGGTGAGATTGGGTCGCTTTGCATGCGTGTTGCTGGCAACTCGGCCACAGAAACACGGGCAAACCTGTCCACTGGCCATGCATGTCCAGGCACATGCAATCCAAAAGGACATGGACAGAAACGCTGACAGAAACTGCAACAATTCTTACAGATTCACCAAATACCCAACCAGCCCGGGCTATGAGCATGCCACTCGCACGCGTGGGACCGAAAACTGCTGGCTTTTAAGCCAAACTGGTTGGGCTACACGCCACGACCTGTGTGCAAAGGCCACACACTCAGAGAACACCAGCAAGGTGCGTACAGCTTCATTAACTGTTGGTCGTTCCGTTGTATCCCCTCCAAAAACATGAAGCGCGACATTGTGGCGCCGTACATGTCGCGGCAGCCACTCAAAATAGCCCCTCGAAACTTCGAAACGTTGTACATGTCAGCGCATGAAAACTTTTTTGATCTCTAAAAAAGTCGCGTCAACTTTGGCAGTTCACATACGATTCCCTCCCAGCCCGTCCTATCCCCGAACGGGGGTCCCATATTGTAATCTATTACCAGCCGCTCACTTAATCTTCAAGCAAGGATTGAATCAACACCACACAACACGCAGCCTAGGCTACAGAAAATGCCACGTGGGACCTTGCCCTTCGATCATCAGATTCGATTAAAAAACCGCCGCACTTCACACAGCTGCCGTCATGGCAATTCAAGTGACATATGTCACTCAACCGCGCACCCATGACCATTCTATCCATGCCAGCATATGGCAGAACAAATTCTATTTCTGAAGTTCATTCACAAATGGGTCGTGTCGCCATTCTGGGTGTCAAGTGCCACTAAAAATATAAAACTCATCAAATGTTAAAATAAACAAGACTCGACATCACACATCTATGCAACCCATCTCTAACCTGTTTCACATCATTCTGACTCTGAGACTCCTGCCAATTCAGATGGCCTTCCTCGCACGTGTCACTGAGGAACCAAACATGCAGCACGCCAATATCTTCACTCATTTTCTGATGGACGAGCTGGGCATCATATCCTTGAGTCGCAGTCCAAGCCTGAGCTCAATGCACTGGCGCATTGCACACCCACAACTGCGAGTACATTGCGCTGCTCTGGCCTTGGCTTAAATGTCCGTTGATGATGTTGCATGTCCCTTGCTGTTAATGATCTGATCCTCAATGTTGCACCCAAGTCTGCCATGGTCCATCCGCTGAACTCTGGACCACATTCTGGCCTCACGGGGTGCGAGCTTAGTGATGGTATGTAGACAAACTGACTGTCAATCACTATGTTACATTGTTCCCATTTATTGGCGACCGAACAGTACCACAAACATTACAGCATTCGGTTTGAGCAATCTATTTCCTAAACTGACCCGTATGTATGCTTCCTTAATAATTTCAGAGAGGAGCTAGCGCATAGAATCAAGAATGTGGTGCAAGATGGCACGAAATGCGTTGAACCATTTCAACTGTATGCGGAAGAGCAGCATCAGTTGCTGAAAGGGACAATTCCAAAGAAGAACACTGAAGAAAAAGGGGAAGATACTGTAGAAATTAAACGAGGGGGCGTTTCTTTTTGAACAGGTCTAGGATGGGTCTACAAGTTTTCGCTCATGCTAGTGACAACCAGATTTGAGTTAGTTGTAATCCTAAAACATGCACTTTCTGGACATGCTTCAAACGTGTCCAGCAAAGCGCATGCCCTCAGGATACGTCAAGCACAAGTTGTACTCGATTCAGTGTATACGTTCCATCTCTACTGTTGAGTTGTGCTCGTCCATATGCAAATTAGCTTGTGTATCGGGGAAACCTGAAGGGATACCCAAGCACCATGCAGGCGGAAAAACCAAGATCAGAGAATGTCCTGCTGGGAGGGAGAAGTTGCAATTGTAGGCAGGTGTCGCTGTTCAAGATGGTTCCTGATACGATGTTCAGCACACAGGGCAGTTGAAGTAGTGCTGAATTTTTCTACTGTTCCGCATGCTCATAATGCTCTCTATGTATTGCAAAACGCTGCATGGGTCACCGCCAAAAAGGAATCAACATTTGCTGCAAAGCAATAGTTGAGGTAATGCATTATCTCAACATCGCAAATGAAGATTTGCTTTCACCGCATGCCAATTCCTGGGAGCACCAACGACACAGGGATAAAAAAACAGGATAGAATAGCTAAAATGCTCCTTACCAGGAAAGTTATAGCTCTACAGCGTCTAACAAACACAAACCGTCCCCAATTGGCTGCAACCTCCCTATCTCCCGTTCTCGCCTTCAATCCTCCCCCCAGTCCCAATTCGCAAATCACTCCAGTCATTCCGTACCATACAGTGCCAATTTCAAATGGATTAGGGCCAGTTTCAGAACAGTCGGGGCCTTCGCCGGTTTTGCCTTCAGGGACCGTTGCTGGCCAAGCATGCCGTCCCGAGCCGCTCGGAATGGAAGTATGTCTGCCACCTGCCACACGAGAACTGCTCCCCGGTGGCCTCAGACGTGCAAATGGTTTCTTCTCCTTCACAGGTGTCCTGTGAAGGGCAGCTCTTCAAGAAGCACTGCTTCAGCGTGGGATTGAAAGAAAAGGAGTCGCAGCCCTCCGCCATTTCACACGCCAGCTGGCAGTCGAGAATCGTCGTGTCCTCGCGGGAGCCAAATTGACCCTTCGTAAATCTGTTGGAGGAAATTGTGAGGTTAACGCCTGTTGACGCTGTAGATTGAGCGCCAGTGGGGTAAAGTGCTTATATCATGAGCATGGCATATCGAGTCGTTATCAGCACGTACAAAACCTTTGCCACAAAGTGCAAGGCATTTGCGCGAGGCAAAAGCAACCCCGATACCGTGACATCCCAAAATTGTCTTAAAAAAACACGCACACCATGAAAATGTAGTGGTCAGTGGACAACACCCGCAGCTATGCTTTTTAATTTCATGACGGAGCCGTTGGAACCTATGATCGTAAGGAAATAATGAAAGATCGTTTGGACACATGTGAAAGCTTGGTTAAGCCCCTCTTACAATTGCACTTGGAAACAGCCAGCTTTGAAGGCTTGCCAATGCTAACATGTGGTCGCCTCAATCGTCAGTCGAACACTGCCTTTTCACAAATTTCCAAATTGGCAGTTTTCGACTGACGATTGAGGCGACCACATGTAAGCATTTGCAAGCCTTCGAAGCTGGATGAATCAGCCATGGACACTCAACAATATGGCCGTCACGTTGGTCATATCTGGTCATCCGTCACGGATGAGCGGATACCCCACTTACTCGTTCAAATCCACGCTCCCTGTAGGGTCGTATACGAATCCAGGAGCCCCGATGGGGTACTGGACGTCTTCGCCTTCCTCGCACGCCAGGATGCCTGGGCCTGCAGTGGTGTACTGCGCCTGGATCTCGGCCAGGGACGCTGTCTCTTCGCACACTGACTGCCCATCCCCTTCGTAGCCGGGATGGCACTGGCACCTGAAGAACGGATGAAAAGCCGATCAAACAACGATCCCAGTGTCTATTCGGAGATTGGCCGTTTTTCGGCAACGACTGGTCAAAACTCATGCAGCTGCGCACATCACGAATGAATGGCCTACATACGAATGACTGCATGTGTGAAGGTGCATGAATGTATGCATCATGAATGGCCTGCACATGCGAATTAAGGCTGATCAACATTCGACCCACACACTCACGTGAATCCCCCATCTGTGTTTATGCACCCCGCATTGGCGTGGCACCCCGCCGTTCCCCGCACACATTCGTTGATGTCAATTTTGCACTTGGGCCCCTCATATCCCGTGCCTTCCAAACCATTCACCCTCTTCTTCTTGCACTCCTTGACCTTGCTCTTCACGGAGCTTGAGCGGTCCTTCGTACACCCCTCCACCGTGTTTCCACCCATCCCATTTACAGTATCCGTGAACGCCTTGATCAGACCGAAGGTCTCGTCGCTGGCGAAGATGCCGTACAGGCCTGCCCCACCGCCCTCTTCCACTGGAGCAACTTGGCCTTCGTCATACCTGAAAAAGCAAGCATCGAAATTTTTTGGTGAGACTCCTCTGGCTCTCGGTGTTCCACAACTTCCAAGGCACCTTAGCCAAACCTCACTATCTATCGTGGGAATGTGCTCCATGGTGTATTGGCATCTATGAAGAATCGGGCGCAAATTGACACAGCTTCCGATCACACTAATTCAGTACGATAATCCACATATACGCACCAACCCGCAATGGTGGAATGAAAGGGAGCATTGCATACACAACAACAGAAGAACGAATGGAAATTCAATGCTGAGTATGCTGTATTCCCAATTGGTGCCGAGTCGCTGGGTTACAATCTCATTGGATGATCAGAAGAAGCCAATTCTGTCAGCACAGCTTTTCCAAAAGTTACCGTTCGGTTCAGTTTTGTAGACCGAATTGGCTATTTATCGCTGCAGTGACTATCATTTCCACCTGGGAGCACATGAAATTTCGACAACCGAGTATTGGAACAACACTCATTCCAAAGCCGCTGGATGGCTGCTGCATACCACTGCCAGAAGTTCGCGCCCTTGAGAGCCCCCTTTCCCCCGTCCATCTGCTTCAGCACCTCGTCGTACACTATCTGAAAGAATTTCACCCGGTCTGGTTCGAAAGGGCCTTCTGGCTGCACAATCTTTCCAAACTCCTCCAGGATGACCGGCTTGCCCAGCTGCACCGCATCCGCCGTGTGCTCCTGGATCCACCTCCGCTGGAACTCTTCCGTCACGTCTTCCCAGTTGTCCACCCAGCTGTGGAACGACATGAAGTCAATTGCTTCCGGGCTGTGGTTGTTGATGAAGTCCTGCCCTTCCTGATCGATGCAAAAGGCTGCGTCGTCAAGGTGTGGACAGCAATGCTGCTTAGATGACGCTTTGTGCGTTGCCAAAACTGTGACTCAGCTCGTCGCAATTACTTGCGAACATTTTGCCCAATCGACATTTTGTTCAAAATATGTTTGAATCGATTGACGAGGTTGGGGCATAGAAGACAGAGCTCCGGCAGCAGCCATCCTCCCAACAACTGCACAATTGTTTCTACAGCATCTTCCATACGGAAGATATGCATATGCAAATTGGAACAGCCACGACCTTTCTACATAAATATGATGCCAGACTGCCAAATTCCATAGTTGAGTACATTGCGCCCAAGCCATTCTTCCAACCCCATAATTGTCATTCAGACATATCCAAGGAAGATGCTTATAAAGGCTCGTCCCCGACTTGCACTAGGAAAAAAGGGCCAAATAACAAGTGCTGAAACGTGTACAAAGTTTATGGGTTTGGGTTATTTTTGTGTTTTTTGCATGCAGAACTTTGATGAAATGTGTTTTATGTGTGTTCGCAACAGTGTTATTTGGTCCTTTTTTCGCTAGTGTTGTTTTCCTCCGAAAATGCTGCATTAATTCAGTGTGTTGGGTGTAATGACCCAACTTCGCATTTCACTTCGACAACGTATATGTGCAGTCTTGAATTTCAGTGCATCATTGAGTTTTTGCGACTTTACATCGATCGTGCACGGCTCCGAGCAATTTTCGATTTTCGTTGGTAATGCAGGAGTGAGCTCTTCGTTAATCAAAAGCGGAATACAAAGCACATAATTTTCCTACCTCTTCTGGCCACCTTCCAGCGCCCTGGGGATTGGCCCAAGTCTTCCCGCTCGTGCTGTAAAAGCCCTCCTCACCCACCGTCAGCAGGTGATTGGGATCCAGCCCCTTGACGTAGGGAGCCATCTCCTCAATCCAAGCCTGCACCGCCTCAGGGCACCCCTGGCACCTGGGCTCGTTGATCCTGCACGCAAATCGACCTGCATTAACACATGCAGCACCCCGAACTGCAGAGTCGACGCCGTCGACTCGGCGACCAGTTGGCATACCAATAACTCGCGGATTAAGGCGTTCAATCTTTTGTACGACTGCGCACGCGCTCAAATGATTCAGAAAAGGACGTCCAGCTCATTTCTCCTGGTTTGGTTATGAAGTGTCATCCCCATTACAGGCTACAGATTGTGGGGATTTGTCTCGTTCATACTAATGTCCGTTACGTGTTGCGATACCCCCCCTGGGATCGTGGAATACATGCCATCTTAAATTGTGCGGGAAATTGTCTCAAGATGGCGTGCTTCTCTTTTCTAACAAATAATCAGCAAACACGGGCAATGAGGGTTCGACTGTATACAAAGTACAAGCTTCGCTAATGAATTGGACTCGAAGAGCACACAGCTTTCGATTCAAGTCCACCAACTCCACCAGCAATGTCCGTGCGGAGACAAGGATCCTGTCCCAGTTTGGGTCATCATTCACAGGCCCCTCGAGTTGTTGCTGTCCGAAATAACTCACAGCCGCACCAGTACGCACAACGCCACAAAAGGTCGAACCCAAGAAGCGTCATGAGTTTGCCATTTTTAACCCAGTGAACACACATACTAGATGAATTAAGCAAATTTTGCGCAAGTCAATCGTGGAATGAACTTTTTCCAGACAGCATACTCTCTGACGAAGGCACTCACAGGTTCCAACCCATGATGGTGGGGTCATCGCGGTATGTGCGGCCGTTGACGGAGTTCACTCTGGTGATCAGTTGCTGCACGTGATCCTTGTACATCTGCTTGGTCTGGGCATCTGTGAAGAAGTCGGTGTGCGACTCAGCCGTCGAGCTCCACGAGACGTACTCGTCGATGCCCCCTGACGGCGGCCAGTTGTCGGTGAAAGACAGCAGAACGCGGATGCCGCGCTTGCGGGCCTCATCAAGGGCGAAGTCCAGGCCTCTGAACATCTGCGATGCAATGCATGCACGCCTTTGGAAGCCATAATTGCGCAAGCACAACACTGCACATGGAATTTGATCTCAAGGCGTTCCCCTTGCAGTTATCCCACGCTTCTCTCACTGGGAGATTTTCGTTTCCATAATCACCTGAGAATCGCAGCTTGGTACCCCGCCCAAAAAATGTGCTCGACAGAGTGCTCAACAAATCACCCCGAGCGTCAGGCTTTGTTTAGGCATGTTTCATAGAGCGGCTCTTGCCCGTCGCCATGGCAACTTAAGTTTACGAAGTCAAGTTGCAACATAAGTTTGAAAATTCAAAAATCTGGTTCCGCACATCCCTTGACATCGGCTTGAAGCTAAGCGCACCAAATTAAACATAGCTGTAGTAGCGCATTCCCTATGGCTATTGCAAATGCCAATATCTTCGTTGATCGGTACAATCAGTGCCAGATCGAATGGCGTTGCTGTACAGTAAAACTTCTCACACAGACCGCATTCCAGCCTTATTCTGACCGTAGCATAGCCATATGATGCTTGGAGTTGCATTGTCGAAGGGTATTTCCGCAATGCGATGTACAAATTGATGATCGCTAGTGCAATTACGCACTTATCCGATGCTTCGGTATCCCGTTTACTTTTCCGCCTTGTTTTCAATTCCCAGGTGGATCCAAACCTATGATGATGCTGCGTGACATCACCAACTTGTTCCACGGGTGCTGTTTGTTCGTTTGTTTGTTTATTCCTTACATGGATGCATCGACACGATGTCATGGCATCCATCAACGTAGCGTACCAATCCAGTGTGCGAGGGGCATGTCCGGGCCCAACTATGTTACGGTAAACACGCCTCTAATGGCGGCCACAGCTGCCACCTAAGCCCTAGAAACGCCCCCACGAAGTTCCACGGGTTTGCGTTGCCATATTGTGATAATTATGGAATCGATGTCAGTGGACCATGTTGAGAATACCGAGACAATGTGAACAGCAGAAAGAACATGCCGATGCTCATACAAATATTACAACCTGTTTTGGGGCGCGTGCTGCTGCTCTAGTACTTTAGCATCGCAAGCAGCAGCATGCTTGACGCACATTTTCTGATGGTTCATTACAAGTACGGAGGGCCATGATGTGCTCCGGCGCATTGTAAAATCCAAATGCTCACCCCTTCATTGTACTCTCCTGGCGATGGCTGGAGGGCGAACTGGGGCGAAACTGAGTGCGCCCACGCCCGCATCAAATTGAAGCCGTGCTCCACTGCTAGGTCAAGCATGTCCTGAAGCATCTGTTTCAGCAGTGAAATTCGACGGTTAGAAATATCTTTCATTCTCCATTGTCTGTTGGATGAGTGGCTGAATACTCCAGCATCAATCTTCACATCAGTTGTTTGAGATTGATATGACAACGTAAAAATGTCGAAAAGAATTGTTTGCGTTATTGCAGTGATGGATGTCTTGAGTACCGATTGCCCCTAACATTACAGACAACAATTTGCGAAGTGTGGCACTAATCCTCCAGCTGTGCTGAATCGTAAATTGAAGCACAGCAATCTGAGCATCAATAGCAATCGATGTACTGTGTTCAATTTTGCAACTGTATTGAAAGCTTCCTGAAACTTCAGAACAGTAACCAATTTGTTAACTTTTATGTCCATTCCAAAATATTTTTTCAATGGGCGAAGTGTGCTCCCAGCTTGCGCCAATACGAGTGTGCTATGGAAATCTTGAAAGCCGAGATTACTATTGAATGCAACCTACCCGAGGCCCAGACTCGCCCGGGGGCAGCGAGGCACCTATGAGTTCTGGCGCTCCTGCCGCTGCCTCTATGACCTGGAAATGCGCAGAAAGCCTCAATCAGCACGTTCAGAACAACTCCATATCCCATTGTATGCCGTAGCCGTAAAGATACTTTTGTAGGTTCTCGTCAGAAGAGCTGAAGCAGTCCATTGGAGAAAGACTGCGCATGTCATGCATGAAGTGGACGCCAAGTCACTGACAATAAAGGAGCGAGTCGTCAAGCAAGATCTCCAAATGCAATACCGGTTCCAGAAATTGAGCCCTCTTCGGGAAACCATTCTTGCCAGTGCGTTGTCTGGGCTGATTGAGACTACCCTCAAGTCCGCCAGGAAAGCGCATTGTTGCAACAGGGGGGAGCGTGTGCCGGTAGCCCAGCGGCCAGTATAGTTGACAGAAAGCACATCAAACTCGGTCGCACACTGTTGCCATCGTCTGGGGCGCGCATGAGCCAGGTACAGGGGCCCCAAGAGGCATCACAACGGCAAAACTGTGCGGCCTAGGCAGCACCGCCTGCCAGGGCTCTTTTGCTCATACTGGCGAAGCCCCAACAAAAATTGACGCTCCTTTGCAGATTTCGGCAATGCCCAGTGACGGAGTTGCCATACATTAGCCGCATGGCGATCGCTTGCCCCGCCATTTGCAATAGAGCGCCAAAGCAGGCCAAAATCCTCTTTTCGGCACTTGACGCAGGCACCGCTCCCATTGCGCACGGCGCAGCCACCCCGGCATCGGCCCGCACAAAGACCGACATTGAACATGCAGCCGCGCCACGACACACAGCATGCATTCGGCCGCGGATCGCCATGAATTCGGCCGGACGCCGCGCGGGCCCATGCTGCGGCCTTCCCCTCCCAACCAATCACAATCCGCCGGCGCGATCACCGCGGCGCCCACCTCCCACTGGTTCCAGCCGGCCACCAAGAACTGCTCGCAGCCGTCCACGAATTCGCCGTTCACGATGCGGATAAAGTTCTCCGCGCGCGCGCCCTGCGCCGCGACGCTGAGGGCGACCGCCAGCGCTAGGGCCAGGGCAGCAGCCCCTCTCGAGGCTCTCGATGCGAGCGACATTGCGCCCAGCCGCAACAATAGCCCGCTGGGTGCCAGCCGTCGCGGCCCCAGTGCCGCAGTGGTTGTGTCGCAGCGGCAGATTAGATTCCCTCTTTGGGGAGGCACTGCTGTGAGGGGCAGTGCCAAGGGGGGAGGGGGGCCCAGGTGTGATTGCCCCGCGCGGCGCCTTGGAGCGGTTTAGGCAGGCGGAGAAGACGCAGCGACCTTGGACGGCATGCGATGCGACAAGGGGGGACCAGATACTGGAGATGGCGGACAGCTTTGGGGGGCGGCTTGGCCCGTCGGGTCATTTCGCGGTCGGCGAGCCCGGCGGCTGCGTTGAGGGGGTCGTAGCTGGCAACGGGCAACGGTACGACCGCAATGAGCAGTAAGGTTTTCTGGGGGAATGATACGAGAAGTTCGCAGTGAGCTTGGTTGCGCGTGTGACGGAAGGGAATCGTGCAATCTGGTTTGCGCGTTTGAGTGTGAAGAGTCGACGACGGGGGGTGGCGCGCACCGGTTGAGAACCTCATAGCGGAGCTCCACATTCACTATTTTCGCTTGCAAGATGGCGTTTACAGGACAATTAATGGCGCCACCTGCATGTGGATGTGCCGCAAGGTGACAATGAAGGACATTTGAAGGCCTGACATAGCAGACAGCTGCAACGTTTGTTTCAGACATCCATTGCAGTTGGTGGTGCTGTATGTGAACTCTGTCGCACAGCTGGAGCGGTACTTTGCTGCTATCCCTGTTGCCACACGACCCCGTCCAGAGTTGCGGTATACGTTTTCCATTGCTGCGCCAGCTGGCAAGGGTATTGGCGTGATTGGTCGCCTCGAGCCTCACCAATAATCAACGGTTCACACAGCAGCAGCGAAGGTAGTTGCAATCATTTAAGCAAACTAATCACATGACAAATCGCGCTGCTCGACAGGTTGACATGCGCTACTGAAGGGTGCAAATCTCGGACCTGGCGCATGGAACAGAAGCTTACTGATTCATTTTGCAGACATGCGGCGCCCGGATGGATCGCAGTTGCAGACACACGAGACAGCAAGAGGGCAAATGTGCATTTTACATCGTGGCATATTCCCACATGAGCTTCGCCCACACCTGCCTAATCATGGCCATAGCGCATTCTCATATGGTGCAAAACGTTTCAAGGAAAATGAACCTGTGCGGTCAGCAATACAATTTCTCGACTAGTAACGTTCGAAAATGGCGCCATCCGACATGACGGTGCCCCACCTTGTCTGATCACGGTTATAGAATACGCTAGCGTCAAACAGGAGTATTCAAGGATAGCGTTACCCGCACGCAACAACATACTCCTTGAAAAAAATTATGGATTCTTCACGACCCCAGGACGCAACTCCAGCAGTGCCCGCGGGCTGTGGCAGCAACCTGACCAAGCCATCAGTGGTTGAACGCGCCCTCCCAAGATGGCTCGCAATCCGCTCTCAAGCCCACCCCCAAAACGACACCGTTGCGTCCAATTCCCCGCTTCCCTTTCAGCCGTACGCATACTTGTCGGCCGTGCTCTACAACGGCCTTCCGCCGCTACTGCTTCGCCACATCCTCATATGCCACGGGCCCCAGGATGCTCAGCATTACCGGCAGCACAATGACGCCGTGCCATATGCCGAACATTATGATCGCGGCAAACATTTTGAAGAACACCTGGAAGATGTAGTGCTCGGCTGCGCCCATGACGGCGACAGCCAGGAATGTTGTGAAGGCACCGGCGAGCACCTCGCCGCCGATGCGGAACAGCGCAGCCTTGGCGCGCTCGTCACGCGTGCCCTTGACAACCAGGAAGGAATGGGTGATGTGGGCGGAGTAGTCCACGGCAATGCCCACAGCCAGGACCATGTTGATGGCCGTGACGGTGTTAAACTGTAGGTCGACGTAGTGCATCCAGCCTGCAGCGCAGCGGAGCACACACCAAGTGAGACAGGGGCCGTGAACTTTGCCGTGAAAGCATTTTGCTGCTTTATGCATCAATGAAGCGCAGCTCTTCAAGTTCGATATCCTTCCATTGGCTGATGTGGCAGCTCCCCCTCCCCCCGAGTGCCGAACTGATCTTTTTCCTTTCTAGACCCTGAGCATTGTTTTGGATTCAACATATTTGAATCAACAAAATTTGATTCAACAAATTCGGGGCTGTAAATCGCCTTGCACACTCTTGTTCGGTGGCACAATGCCCAAATAACTTGCGATAGGACCGGGGAGGCGCCTGGACATCGAAATGCAACATAATATTTTGGATTCAAAATAGAAAGCACAGCTCTTCAATGGCAGTAACCATTAATGGCGCCAACGCTACAGGAAAGGACGCCGTGCATGGATCGATCACAACGAGACCAAGCGCTTTTCTTTAATTGCAAGGCCACGGGGAAGCTTTCAACACATTGTTGAGACGTACTCTGAAAGCGCGGTTCGCCAGCGGGATGGCTTGCAAATTATCGCAATTACGGCTACGCAATGGAAAGGAAAAAGATACTAACTGCCACCGGTGCGCTGGTTGAGTGGCGGACGTTCCACAGCGGACCGGGGCCATCCACCGCTGCCGCGACTCACCAAAGAGCATGACATCCGTAGCTGCCACCATGGCGAGCACCGCCAGTCCCGCGAAGAAGTTGGAGAGGACAATGAGAGACATGACGAAGACGGCGACGCCGGCCATCAGCACATTTCGGACAGTCTCCCAGGCGATGACCCGGAAGCCGTCGTAGAACAGGAAGACTGGGTTGTAGGCGATGGGGTCCAGGTCGGGAATGGCGGCCTTGGCCGTGTCCCTAAGGCTGTCCACCAAATCCACGGCAAACTGGCCGTCCACCACGTCCTGTGACTGGCCGTCGATCCTGGACGATATTATTTGGCAATCGTCCGCCGTGCTGCACACGGGCGGCTCGAATATGACCCTCCCATTGAAGAAACGCCCTTCGGTGGAATCGTTTGAATTGATGAACTGGAACACTTGGAAGTCGAAATTGTCGGGCGTGAGTTGGCTAGAGTTGGCGCAGCTCATCTGCCCTGGCTCAACGGAATTGCAGAATGATTCGTACCTGCGTGAAGCAGCGTTGGAGGTCAAAGCCTCTTGTCACGTTCACTGGCGACAAACTTTGGCTCAATAGCAACTTGTGGTGGTAAAATGATCCACGGCTTTCGGGAGCACAGCGCACCCGAAAACTGGATTGAAATTGCTTGGAAGGAGTCTGTACTAGCGAATGAACATCCACTGCATCATGATGCAGACAACAGTATGATGCTCCACAGACTTTTGCACCCCATATCTGTTCATGCATGCCTTGAATTTCACCCTGGCTTCTGGGAAGAAACGTCGCCCCAGGCTGTGAATGGAATCCACATCGACGGCGCTGGAGCAGCGAATCGCACGTCTGCCGGCCATCCTATCTTCCAGTTCCAACGCTTTCATTGGCTTTAACTTCAACCGCAATGGAACCTCCAAAACGTGACACGGAGCTCCCCATGCTCCGCAGCACTCAACGAGAAATTCAAGCTCAATATGCAAGAAACTCGCATCTCACCAGCTGCTCACTGGAGGGTTGTCCGTCACGAACTTGTCATTGGCCCTGAGTTCATCCACAAGCCTCACGAGGTCGTCCTGGAAGTGGTAGTAGCTGGGCCGGTCCGCAGGCGGCTCCTTCGTGTACACCTCAAACGCTGTAGAGTCTCCAGAAAAGTACCGGTCTTCCACCTGCATGTGCAATCCCAACGCCGAAATGACAAACACGCTCCTGGGTACTGCTGCCCGGGAGCTGCTGCAACTCTCTCGCTAGGAATCCCTACGGTCCCAAACGCCAGCAGTTGCAACTTCTGCCATCAACAGACCACGCAACCAGCAGACACCACTATGGCATACTTGCCAGACTGGGTTGCAATAGATACATTGCTGTCTTTGCTGGTGCAAATTGTTCTGTGAACCAAAATCCTCTCAAGCCATTCGTGTGCATGTTCCTTGTGCAGAGGGCTCACAACAAACACTGTTCCACCCTTCCCATGAAGGCTAGTTCCCTCCTGACCAATGCAAGGACAATGTGTTTTCTGATTTCACCCATTTCGCACTAACCCTCACCTCAAACGCATCCTTGAGCCACGAGCCATCGGGTGTGAACCAATCTCGGAATTGGAAGTCCATGAACACTTTTGTGCTTCCGTAGATGGCCATCGCCAGCAGGCCGCACTCCGCAACGATCACAATGGCCTTCCCCACAGGAGAGAGTGTGTATTTTGGGATCCATTCTCCCACAAGCCTGGCACCATGTGTACTTCAGTCAGTGGTCAGAATTCGTTTTTGAGTCTTCAGCAGCACATTTGTCAATAAAACTGCAATTCCCCAGACATCAGTCACAGGGCACATGTTGCCTTGTTTGCATATTGGCAACAAATGCTGACATGTGCACTGACACACACACCATACTTAATCATCAGAGTGCGCTACATGGCAACAGTATTTCGATGCAAGCCTGTCATTTATGAGATCCCATTGGAAGAGACTTACTTTGTCGCAAACGAGGGTGCAGATGGGTCATAGCTGCCTGCTCCAAAGATTTTGCGATTGGGGTCCCTCTTTCCATCCCCAGCCACCACAGTTGCTGCAGCAAGTCCTTCAGCCTGGCCCTGAAACAGCATTACACGTCACCATTTCAACCACAACACAGTGCAGAGAGGCAAGATGGCTGGCCAACAAGGGCATCGTTTCCAAGTCTTGCACAAGCCACTATTTCGCACAAACAGTGATTTTTCTACTGAATCCCAAGAAAGGAGGCTATGTGTACATGCACATCATCAATGGCCTCTGCCACAAAGCGCTCCTGACCGCAAGTACTGCTGGTCAAGTTATTTTGCACTGGGATCACAGGCGGGCAGCTTTACGTCAACAACATCGTGGACACAGGCGGCATCAGCAAATGCACACCTTCTCCAAGTCTTTGGTTGATTCGGGAAGCACAGCTTTCACAAACTGCCCCTCGTTGTACTGGTCGCTCCCACACCAGCTTCCAAGGCAGCAGCACTGGAAGCCCCATCGTGGCGCCCCGTTGTAGGCACGCTTTTCTCTCTTGGTGTCCAAGGCCAAGCAAGCCAAGAAAAACGTAACCTGAGAGTCGAAGCAATCAACTTAATAGACACCCTTCAATAACGAACGAAACTCGTTGCCAGTGGCAACTGTATGTACTAAAAGTGCAGCTATGTCCAAAACCCTGTCATTGGCCAAAGTTGATGCGGCGCCCTGCTTTTCATTCATCTTCCCTTACAGCAACCTGCTTAGTAATAGCTGCAAACCCAACTGCTCCATACTCGACCTCGAAAGGGGGATCAAGTGGTGAAAATGGAGTGTGATATTGTTGCGGAACGCTCAATTTTCAGTAGTTTTGCAGGTCCAATAAGTTCACAGAGGAATCCTTCAGGATGGCCAGCGTTTGGATGCCATTGCCCACCTGGTAGAAGAAGTCGAATATGATGCCCAGAGTGGCGTAGGCAGAGAAGGCCCTGAGCGCGGGCAGCTCCGTGTAGGAGCCCATCAGGAAGGCCACCATGTCCGTGACCGACGTCACCAGGATGGACGAACCCGCCGCCCGCATGGCTTGCGCAATGCGGTCCTCTCCCGGCAGCGCGGCATCCGTCTGGTGGTATGCGCCGACGATCACAAAAGTGTCGTCCGTGCCCAGGCCCAGCAGCAGGAAAGGCAGCGTCTGCACGACCAGGTTGAACTTGATCTTGAAGAGCTGCGCCAGGCCGAAGGCTGTGATGATGGCCATCCCAACTGCGAGGCACGCACACGGTGGAGCGGCGTCAGGGCGCGCGCGCTGAAGGCAAGGTGTCAGTGGCTGAGGGCTTTTGGGGAGTAGCAGATCTCAGTAAGCGCACCGGTGATGAGGGTGCAAGCAGCTCGTGGTGAGACCAGATGTAGCCAAGGATGAGAGGGGGCGTGTCCAGTGCCGTCCTCGATAGTCAGAGGCAGCTCCCTTTCCAGATAATAGGTCCAGTTGAAGAGACAGATAAGTTATAACGGACTCAGGGTCGGTTCTTGATCTCACACGAGCACGCGATTCTTTGCATTATTCAACATACTTTGATGCATTCCGGACTGCCAGCAAAGCAACCAAGATCTCTGCAATGCAGTGTGCTGACTGCCAAGGTCTCCAAGCACTGCACAAGGTCTCTGCGAAAAATGCAGCCATAGGGAGGCATTAACCACCGCGGCGATCTTGTCACAGCAGTTGCGACCGCCAGACATAGCACGTAGCGCTGTTTGATTTCGTGCTTCAGAGCAAGGCAAACATTGCATATACTGTGCTGCTGCTGAAACACTGTAGAATCCTCTATTGACAGCGGGCTGTGGCCATTCCGCCCCTGCAACAGACCTATGCCAAACTTGTCGCATGCAGTTCCACCCTCACCTGACAGAGCGCTGAGCAGCGCCAAGTGGCTTTTGTTGAAGACAGGGCTGTTCTTGAACAGCACCACATGGGTGTACAGAAGAATCAGCACATATCCAACTGACAGCTTGAGAACATCCCTGTCTACTGCCTTGTCAGATTCGTTGTCAATGGCTTCAATGTTGCTAACGTACCCAACCAGGGTGTCAGAACTCCAGTCGTCCCTCACAACGTCCACCAGCTCTTCCAGCCATTTCCGAGTTCGTGGGTCAATGTCTTCACCGTCAACATCCCTCTGTAGGCACAACACACAGAAACGGTGTGCACTTACAAAGGTGCTGAGCTGTTGCTTGATTGATGCTTGGATTCAGGAAGCTCATCACTCGATTGCGATAATATTTGCTGTGTGCTAGGCGAGTTGCAGCATATGGGAGCATATTTTGCACACAGATTTCTGCATGTCTTTCAACAAATGTGTCCAATGGGTAGAATTAACTATCATTGCCCCATTTCCCAATTCAGACAATCATCGAGTCTTGCACTATGTGGCCTAACCATCAGGAGGCTTGGATGCTCTGGATCCCAGCACATCGTGCAGCTGAGGACACGAAAACGCAGGGTAGCAGAAGGCATTCCAGAGGTGCCAACTTCACCAGACAGGCATTGTGCACAAAACTCAACAAGCCAGAAACAGGTTCCTATTTGATTGTTGGGACATCAGTGTGAAAGTGCTCACCCTCTCCCACTGCAAGATGAACTGAAATTGGTACACCTCCACAGTTCCGTTGCACTCTCCACCCTCACGATTACGCCCCACAACAAATGGGACGTCCAATGGTAGGCCAAACTGTGTGGTCAGGTCATCTGGTCGCAGAACAGCATCATTTAGAATGATATAGGAGAGTCTACCGCACAGTGGAAGTACACTGGCACTGCATAGTTCGATACATGCCAAAGTGGGCATGTCTTGTGTGAAAGGTGCAGGACCGCTGAATGCTTCCTCTATTCTCATGATGTCCTGTTCTGCAATCTTGCAAGCTTGCTTTGTGCAGTTCAATGATACCACATGACCACGTGATGGGTAAGTGGAAGTCAAACAACATTTCGACCAACTTGCTCAGTTCAGCATTTCACTTGCCTTTCTAACAACAGCAGCACCGCAGACCAGACCACAAGAGGCCATTGTACGTTAGTGTTTGAAACTGGGAGATGTGCCAATCCACTGCTATCTATTGGCATCTTTGGCCAGAAGGACAGAACCATTACTGCACTGAGGCATTAGGTCCCAACTGTCCTGGTGGTGAAATTGTGTTGGTTGTTTTGCCTTGTTTGTCACGATGGTGTCATACCTCTATTGAGCGTGGCCGTCACGTTGCTGTCGTCCAGCAAGGCTGTTCTGTTGTAATCCCAAGCATCAAGAACACTTTCGACCTATCATTGTACAGCATGCACTTTCAGGTGATGGGCAGAGGAGCAGATTGTCTCCATTTGAAATTTCAGAAGGCTGGATGTTGCAAGGCGGTTTGCACAGTTTCGAAAGGCACACAGACTCCCTCACAGTGCACAGTAGATGAAAAGTAGCAGCCATTAACACAGAGCATGCAGTTTGCTGCGTCTAACTGGGGAAGGGCCTGCAAAGAACTCGGGATGATAGGCACACAAAGTACTGCAGGGTCACATGAGCTCCCGTCAAGCATCTGATTTGGCACCAAATACACCAAAGCACTCATTCATGATGCTGCATAACTGGCCAAGCCACAAGCAAGACAACAGCATTGTTGTCTCGTTCGTCAGATTCTGGGGTGCTAAATTCACTGGGGTCCTGTTCAAAGAATGCAGCTCCTGAGGTGATGGTAGTTTCTCTGCTTACTCTGCATGGTCCATTAGCAACAGGCTTCACACAGATGTCCTCCAGGCCGAGGTCCTCCCCATCTTCTTCCACCCTTATTTTCAGGATACTCTCGTACAAGTCGAACACTTCGAGGAGGAACGCCTTGCCCATGTCGGGATCGACAAGCAAGTCTCGCTTGGAGCAGTCAGGCTCGGTTTTCACGTCAATGTCGCGTGTTACGAGGACGCGAGTCTGCAAAACAAGGATCGGCCGTCAGAAGCGACAAAGTCCTTGCATGCAAAATGAAGGAGAACTGCAAGTGCTGGCGAACCTTATGGGCACATTGGGGCCGCTGAAGCACCAAGTAATTTCATGGTTGGGCTCTTTGGCACCTGCCCATCGCATGACGTTGCCCTCGTCTGACTCAGCCGCAGTTCACGGCCAGCGCGTTGGGGACCCGTGACTTGCTCACCTGCACGTTTGGCTCGCCGTAAATCATCTCCACATATTCACGATCGTCGAAGGCCCTCGAGCTGTCGGGCGTGAACAGCTGGTCGCCGTCCAGCTCCTGCTCGAAGAGGCCGATGAAGAGGACTAAGCCCAGGACCGCGAGGGCCACCGTGGCGGCGATCACCACCCTGGGCCTCCGGTACACGAACCTGCCCAGCGCCTCGAAGAAATCGGATATTCCTGCGGAAGGTGCAGATGGTTGCGACTCAGCTTGGCCAAATGCTGGAAATGCCTTTGGCGGGAAGGAAAGGCAGTGGGGCCGTGTGGGAGGTCGCGAAGGTGCACACCGTTCGCGGATGCAACTGCCCCGCCCGCCTCACCAACTGAAGGCGCTGGAATTCCGCAAGAGTTCGGGGGCCCTCCAGAATCTTGTGCCCCCCTAAAAGTGGTGGGCGCCCAACGCGTGTTTGTCGTATCCTGGTGCGTGGACGCGCCGAGAGTGGGGAGGAGAGTCGGCGCTCGCAACAGTGGCAGGCCCGCGGACTGTGGCAGGGTCCCGGGAGCGCCGTACGACAAATCGAAGGCCGGTCCGTTTCTGAGCGCCCCTCAGAAAGGCAGCGCCGCTCTTCGGCGCATCCCAAATCCGAGAGAGAGGCTCTAGAGCCTGAGGCCATTCAGGGAACGAAGGACGCAGGAATTCGAACACGGAGAGCGGCATGTGTGCGGCATCCATCCGTGCGAGCTCCTTCGTTCAGCCGGCTCTCAAGCCGGTCAGAGGCCCCGCCCGTCTAGCTCGCCAACTCTCGCCGACTCCTCTCACCCTTGTGCCATGCCGCGCTGAATCTCGTTAGGACCGACTGCGAAGGTGCAGAGGCACCCCCCTTGGTGCCCTGGTCGCCCGCTTCATCGCCTTCCGCCATCCTCCTCAGAGGCTGATGGCGACGATGATGGCCTTTGAACAAGCGCTCGCTGCTATCCAGGTGGCTCCCAAGTCTCTTGACCAGGAGACCGCTGCTGGACTGCGCGTGGGCGCCGGCAGCTTGCCGGGTTTTGAGGCCCCTTGGCCCGCGCTCGGAAGGTTGAACAGGGGTTTACCTCAATGCCTGGTGATGAGTGTATGTCAGTGCATAGTAACCTGTCACCTCACCATTTGTCACACCACACTGGCGGCGCACATGTGGAGGCGTGGCAGTGTTGAGGCATGGACGCCGGCAATCTCCACAAAAACGATGCTGTGGACAACCCCCCGGGGGGAAGCTCTTGCCAGTTGCAAAGAGGCATCGTTGTACGTGTACAATAGTATAGGCGTTCTCGGCGATGTGGAAGGCGAGGCAAGTCTCCGCGCAACCATGTCCACGCAACCCCCAGCCGTGATTGGGGTTGAGAATGAGCTCATCCATTGGGGACAGTCACCGACCACCAGCGAGAAGCCAACGCTTTCATTCGCTGTACTGTGGGCAAAACTCCTGAGCAAAAGGTGGTGTGGTGCCACGATCTGGCAGTGCGGGTGCCGCATTTGCAAGCTTGTAAGCCTCATGAAGGCCATTATTGCCTAGCCTCCATCAGGGCCAATGAGAACAAATTTCCAGCGCTAGTCTCATACAGCGGGACACACCTCAACAAAGTGAGGGATTGCGAGCATCGCCTCAGGCAAGGGCCATGCTCTATCGGTATAGGTGCGCTTTTAAGTGTCAAACGTCAAAGTGACGCTAAAGTTAAACCCAATTAGGTTCAGTCCTTGTGTCGATGCTTGCATGACTCAGCAGCATTACCTTGTAGCGTGGCACGGATGACGGAAGGTCGACACCTTGTGGGTACTGCGAGAAAGTTTCAAGGACAGCAGACAGCCAGTGCTGCGGTTATCACTGAGGCTGAAAAGTGGGACGCTTAAAAGCGATGGCTGGCGATGGGTCCAGCCTAGGAGGTTGTCCATTGAGACATTTCGCAGGCTGTGAAGACTGGATGCTTGAAGGAAGTTCTCGACCAAGTCATAATTTGTTTGACGCTGATCAGCGGTGATTGATTTTCTCCCTAGCCTTGTCTATGTTGCAGGAATCAAGTCATTTCATTGCGTCATAGGTCTTCCCACTCCATCGCGTCCGCCTGCCCTCCCCCATGTATGCGCACTACAAGTAAAGAACAACCTATTTTACATCGCTTTTGCATGAGGAATGTGAACGTGGTAAATTGAGCCATGCTGAAGCTGCTTGTGACACCCGCTGTGAGGTTGTGGTTGGGTGTGCGCTCATGTTGAGAGGGCCGCGACCAGGAAATCGGTGGCTTTTCGATGTTTTATCTTACACATTTTCAGTGACCCTTTCATCCACTCAATTGAGATGTCTCAGGCGGAATGAAATGCCTAGCATCCTGCCATTGTGAGATGGCAAATTGGCGGCTTGCCTTAACGAGAACATAATCACAGACACACGTATTGCTTGACTTAATATCCGAAAAAAAGCCTTCATGCAGTTTAACAAGACGTCGTCATGAAAATTCTGGCTCACAGGCCTGCAAATGCTCGTTTGGATGGCGATGGAATCTCTCTCCATGCAGAGAGGTGTTTCCGTCGCTGGCAAACCCAATATTGCCACCGCATATTTCACTGGTGACTTGGCGTACGGGCGGATGAAGAGACCCGGCAATCTTTGCACTGGTTCGTGCCATGGAATTTGATTTTTCGTTGGAAAAGCGCATCGAAAATGCTCAGCACTGAATGCTGGAGCTCGTCACGCCCAGCGCAACGTTTTGGGGAATTCTGACAATCCTCACATATCTGACCATGTGAATGCACTATTCCGAATCTGGTCAACTTACTGGCACCGATCTGAGCTGCAATACCACAACGTCGCTGAAGAGACTGAGGTTGTGAGGAACAATCTCAATTGTGGACCCCAAGGGATGGCATTCTTGGCAGCGATGCAATCGCTTTCGATTCTGAAAGCGAATGGGGAAGGGACCCCCTATCTCCCAAGCTTTCGGGGACATACTTGACGGCCCCAGGGCACCATGCGGCCACGGAAAAGTTGATCTATTGCTCCCTTGGTGGGTCCATGTTTTCAACATTCGTGACAACATTTCATGCAATACATGCCCTGTACATTTGCAATTTGCATACACTACATATCGGCGTCAACCACGCGACCACGATAGCGATGTCATTAATGTTGCAAAATGTTCAATTTACATATGCAACCTCCGTATTTGGGTGTCGTTGCAGGCCACTGGCATGTGGCAGCTCTGGTGCTATCCTATTGTCTGCTGCACTGAGATGTCAAGCGTCGATGCCCCCAGTCTGTAACCCAGGAGTGCTGCCACCTCATTGAAGTTGTTGATACGTGGGCGGTCATTGAACATGGCGGTGCTTAGCGCAGGTAGTATCTACATGTGTTGTATCTGCTGCTAATCAAGAATTATGCCAGTCTGTTGAAGTTGGCCATTTCTAGGCCATAAATGACAAGGCAAATGTCTCCATCAACTTCATCTTCCCAGCATCAGCAGGCAACATTTCCAGCAACACCAACCGACCGACATTAGCTATTTCATCAAGAGCATCTTACATCTGGACATAGCGGCAGCATGAGGAGCGATCAAAAAGTTACAGGCCGACCAGAACTGTTCAAGATCAAGCCGCTCAGCAATCACAGTTCCAGAACCAGCTCCGGTGTACAATTATACTACCCTACATGGCCGACTACGCATCAGCATGCATGGTTCCATCCGACTTTGACGCCCAGCATGGGATAACGACATCCTCCCACACACCCACAAGTCGTCAAACGACCAGTCCGACATCCAAACACCGTCCAAGACCTCCAAAATGGCAAAAGCGCACAGCAGCGCTCCCCTGCACTCTGACCGTTCTGCACAGCGAGCCCCGCCTCCCACTCCCACTGCCCAGCAGCTGGTTGGCGGTTTCCCCGCAGCCATGACAGCAGCGCGATTTTGCCAGGTCGAAAGCTGGCGCTTTTTGATCGCCCAGTGGCTTGCCCTTGGCGACCTCTGGCTCTCGAGATGGTATCTCGAGAAAGCGGACTGCCCGGAAGGGTACTGGAGCTTCGGGCTCACAGTCATACTGCCGTTCAGCGCTGAGGACGAGCAGTGGCTGCATCATCAGCGGGAGCATGGAGAGGAGGCCTTACACTATCAGCTTCAGGAGCAGGCGCGTGAGGCGTACGAGCGCACGGAGTCAACGCAACTGACGTCAGGACATCTGCCAGGGCCAGGGGAGAAGCCGGACTGGAATCCTGACTACAAGCCGGAAGCCGTGTACCGCCCCTGGACCCTCCAGGTGCACCCCCATCCGCATCGGCCGTACACCGGCATAGGGACGCAGGCCTTTCGGCAGCGGATCGCAGCGATGATCGAGCGTGAGGGGGGTCGAGTCCAGGCCTGGCGTGGCGCTGAATTGAATTACTACAAGCGCGAGGTACACATCAACCTCGACATCAGCGTGCCGTTCTCGGACGCACGGTGTTGGCGCATGGAGGGTGAAGGCGTGACCCGCCGCGAGTACGCAGCGACACATCCGTCACGAGCGTCCGAAGTTTTCCCGCGGGAGCGGAAAGACTTCGGGATCCAGACTGATCCGAATGCCGCCGTCCTGCCCTCGGCCGCCTGCGCGGAAGCCAGCGCGATCGTGGCGCGATGACTCAACGCGGGCAAACCGCCGTACACGGACGTCGAGGTACGCGCGGAGGAGCGCGCCTGGCGGAGGGCCATCCGGCGTCAGCGCCGGGAAGCGCGAGCGCGTGGTCAAGCCCAGGATGACGTCATGGTGGACGCACCCGGTGATGAGCCGCCTGCAGTACCGGCAACCATCGGCGCTGCCGAGGTGACGACACCGGCCCTGCCACCCGGTTTTGATGGGACGCGCAACGAGAGGGTGATGACGCCATCACTCCCGCCAGGATTCGGTGGCTGAAGGGCGTGGACTACGGAAAGTCGGTAGACGGGGCGGCGATCGTGACAGGACAGGGTGCACGCTGGCGGATGACGCGACGATTGGAGGATGCCCGAAGCCAGCTGGTGCGTCCGGAGTTATCCAGGAGAATCTCTGGCGGAGGAGGAGGGTGTGAGAACCTGGCTGGCATGCGATTGTACGGGGCGGACTGTAGTGGAAAGTGTTATTGATTGGGTCTTTTCTTGTCCAGTAGTGCGAGCGGACTTGGAAGGGTGACGAGAGGGGATGAACCCATGTGTGGCAGCTGTACCAAACAGACGTTCCTGTAATAAAAAGCCGCGGGGAGTCTGTCCAGGCAGCTCTCCGGCAGGCCTCTGTGTGACTATCTGTGTCCCAGCCGCCTGTACCTCCCCGCCGTCGCGCCACAGCCCCCCGCCGGCTCGACCAATCACCGGTCTTGCCCTCTTGCGGTACCCGCGTGTCCGCAAGCCGGCCTAAGGAGCCCCGAGGCTCTGTGGCGTTTCTCACACTCGTGCTGAGTGGTGAGTAAGACGTTCGTGGGATCCGGAGTGACTGAGGGCGGCGCATTACGCAAGGCGAGCGCCGTCGCTGGTGCTAGAGTGCCGTAGCACCCTACGGGAGTGCGGATCGGCCGGTACGCGCAACGAGTGGACGCTGTGAGGGAGTTGCGTCGTACGACTCTGGTGGAGACCTCTGCGGTGAGGTGCGAGATGATTATGAGCTTTCCGGGATCGCCTATGGAAGGAGCTGCGGTCATGGCGGCGTTGGCTGGCGTTGTCGGGCGAAGCGTGAGATTCCTGGGCGCTGGCATCCATTGGGTTGGGGAGCTTCTGGTGACCCTACTGGGGTGGCTGGCCTGGATGCTCAATATTGATGAGACAAGGATGAATCCAGTTATAGGAGCGGTCAGAATGGTCTATAATGGCCTGGCCCTCCTCATTTTGTTCAACATGACTGCCGCCATTTTCTGCGCGATGGGGCAACTTTTGCAAGTCCCAATCAGGCCGAAAATTGCCCTCGATTGGGTCCCGGTCGCTGTTCAGACGTTCCTGGTGCAGAGGCACGTGTCTGAACGAACGCCTGTACATGAACCCAATGCCACGACTGATGTTTACTATGGAACTGTACATGGCACGACACGGTTACCTCACCCTGGGGCGTGCCGTGTGACGCAAACGATGCGTTGGGGACAAGGAGCCACGGATCCACACAACAGCGCCCGGCACCACCCGCGCTCAATCCCGCCCCCCTCCCGCCCCCCTCCCGCCCCCCTCCCGCCCCCCTCCCGCCCCCCGGCGCCACGACTGGCCGCGGAATGCCCCCTCCCAAGGCCATGGCCCCGGAGCCTCCCGCGGCGTCGTCCGGCGACTCGAGCGGCCCCGCGTCGACCCGCGGCGCGTGGAGCTCTTTCGGTGGCGCGTCCAATGCGGAAGCCCTGGCACTCGATGTCCGGCTGTCCCTCTTGTCCAGGATCAGCTGCCGCATCCACAGAGGCGAGGGGCCGCGCGCCGCGACCCTGGTTGACAGCCGATCGGTCCGCGCGTGGATTAGGGCTGCTCCTCCCGTTGGCGCTCGCACGAGCATGGGACTCGGATGCGTTATGATCGATGGGACGACGCCATCAGCGCCAAATGCGCTTCGCGCGCTGGACCCCACCACTCTGACTGGCCAGGGCTACGCTGCGCTGCAGATATTTCGGCGTTCTTCGAGGCGGAGGGGCGGTTCGTGTACCGACGGCCGAGGCTCGTGATAGGGGCGTCCATCGCCTTCGCGGGGATGTGCGCCGTCATGTTCTTCACGCTGTTCGAGCAGGAGCTGGACAGTGACCGGCTGTTCACACCGGAGAGCTCGCAGGCCTTCAGGGACCGGGAGTACGTGGAGGGCCTCTACGGCGACCCGCCGGTGCAGGTGCGCCGCTGCGTGGGCCGTGCTGGGTGCAGGGCATGTGTGGCTGGATGCGGTGACGTGACCGGCCATTCTCATGGATCCATGCCGTCTATGTGGGGCTCTCACGGAGTAGTGGCTTATTGGCTCATGCATTCAGCGGTCAGTGGTGTGGCCCTAATAAGCTGGGACCAAATGGCGTATCTGATGCGAAAACTGCACGAGAAGGGGACCAGGTAGCGTTTTGTTGACGCTGTTTTCGGTCCCATTTCACCAGTGTATAGTTTTGTCCGCTTCCCGCACAACCACACAGCCAACAGGCTGCCCGGACCTTCTACTGATGGGACGGCCCTGGAGGCCTTAGGGCTTGCAAGTCCTGTGCTGGAGGGCGTCTTAAGCTTGTGAGCGGTGAATCTCTGACCATCGCCACGGTCAAGTGCATGCGGACATTTGCCAATTGGCCTTGCAGGCGGGGTCAGAATCTGGGCACTCGCATTGTCGAGCCAGAATGGAACGGACAGGAAAACGGGCGGCCCGTGTCAATTGGGCGCTTTGAATAGGAGCCAAAGGAGATTGCCCATTTTACAAAGTTGAATTCCCTGCTTGAACCTCGTCAATATTCTGAAAATCAAACACACCGAGTTGGAAGTGTTCCTGATCTTGTTGCCGACTATTCTAGCCAAACGTTACATAATTGTATTTTTTGTCACATTTATTCCGAGTTCCATGATGGTGCGAATGCGCATTGGTATTGCAGACTCGTGTTCTCATAACAAGAAGGGTTGACTTGACGAAGGAGCCGCAATGCCGAAAGCGAGACCTGCTGGTAGACCAAGACAGAGCAAGTAGATTCCTCATGGAGGTCTTCGACCTTTATGAAGACATTCAGGCGATCACGGTTACGGAGGGCGGAGACGTGCTGACGTTGGGGGACATCTGTGCGAAGCCCGTTCCGAATGGGCCATGTTTGGTGAGGTCGAAAGTCCTGGCTCCCGCCCAATGCGTGACACCCCATGCGCTCACAAGATTGACATATTGCGCATTGGCTTGGTTGAAATTTTTTTCATTCATTAGCGAACATCGGGGTGGGCATTTATCACATGATGTGTGAATCGCTGTTTTGATTACATTTGTCACATGGCAACGCAGAAGCCCTGGCACCCAGCTGGTGATGTCGGGGAGTGGTCCCAAGCACATGAGTTTGGTCAAAACCACAGTGCTCGTTTGAGAGCACGTGGTGTGAACAGGACCAGTTTCACATTGCGAGCGCCCATTTGGCAAAATCGCTGCTTCCTGCTGATGCACAATTCCCAGTGCTTTTGGGGTTCTTCTGAGACCGCTTTTCAGATCAGAGAATGGTGCGACATTCCACCATCTTCTGTCGCAAAAGGATACACCTGGGGACTAATCTTCAGCGAAAGGTTTTGAAACCACTCTAGGGAAGCTGTGCGCCGGCAACTGTGGGAAGTTGGGCACCTACGTTTCCTGCTCTGGCGGCAAGTTCCATCATCTGGAAAAACGCGGATACGTATGATACACTGCTCATCAAACAAGGACCCAAAGCGGATTTGCCCTGTTCCAGCTGCTGAAACAAAATGGCTCTATTTTTTCATCACTTGGCCGTGTTCCAGATGGCCATTGTCAGAGAACCTCCAACCAAGATACTGTTGTGCGACCCTGCCATTGGCATGTGGACATTTCTTACACAATGTATTCTCGAGCTGCCAAAGCCGCTCCTTTTGGCTGCTCTCTCCAACATTCCTTTGTGAATTTGGGTGTCTTTGGATTTCTAGAATTTAGCTATCCTAAGGATGACAGTTTCTTTGGCACAGTGTGGACGTGCTGACAGAAATCCTGGCATCGTCTGACGAATGACTGTGATTGGCAGATGCAAAGTGTCTTGGATGCGTGGAACTACAGCAGGGAGGCACTCGAGAGTGACACCAACATATCAGCCACGCTGTCCAGAGGTGTGGTGTGACGCTGTCGGTGGTCTTTACGGCAGCAACGCCTCTGAATCGGGTATTCTCTTTTGGACAGGGATTATCATCTGGAAAAACATGCCCATCATGTGACCCCACATGTTCCTTTTCATATCTGCCATTGCCAGGAGAGCCACCGTTAAAATGAAGTGCTGAGGTGCTGCCAAAAATCTGGGCAGACTCTAGAACCTGACGAGTTTCTGGAATGGAATTGAAAGATATTGTCCTGCAAATGTTGAAACTTTATGAGACCCCAATTTGTCCATACAGGAAATTTGGTGACCGAGCTTGGCCTACCGCTGGACACTGGTTTTGTCGTGGGCCGCAATCAAGAGGGCGGCCAATGCGACGGAAACGCTGAGGTGTATCAGTTTCAATTCATTCTGCGATGGGAAACGGTAGGGCAATGGCAGGGCTAAACGTTGGCAACATCCTTGCGGCAATGCCACCTGCTGAGAGTCGAACTCGTTCAATGCATTACATCTCAACACTGCACACATGGGGACCTTTTCCATGCAATGTACTTCAAATTTTTGCCTTGGATGTCGATAAAGTCAACAAAAAAAATGGATTAACAACAATCTCTTCTATCAAAGGAATGCCTGATAAAATGCTTCCCTTCAGGGACAAATGCATCCGGAAGGGCGCCTGACAAGGCCGTGGCCAATAGAATTCGAGTGGAACACTTGGCAATTGAATTGGCATGTTCAGTCCATATGCCGCCTCATTTGTGGAGGTCTAGATAACCAAGGTGCGAATCAGGACGGAGCTGGTTCAGGTTGTTTTAAGTTGTAGGATGGCCATTGCTCCCCTTGTCCAAAATATGCAATGTAATTTATGTGTGATCGAGCATATCATTTGAAGTGTCTACAACGTGTATCAACCAACGAACTGGCAGAACGTTCCAGCGAATGCTCACCAACATGATTATGCAATTGCATGCAGGAAGATATTAATGGCAAAGACATCGATCCTAGAACGCACAAGTGGCTGCGTACGTTGGTTGATGTTGTCCGAGACCACTGGCGTAGTCCACAATTGGAGGGCTTCGTGAGCGACTTGCACATTGTCGACAGTGAATCGGAAAGGGGAGTGGTGAAAGATACAGCGAAGCTGCCTCTGGGGTACATATTGGTGGGCATATACAGCCACGTGGTGATGTTCAAAAACAGCCCTGCCTTCAATAAAACACATCTGGCGGGAATGAGCTATGTTTCTGGTGAGCTGCTCCCACCTGCAAACCTGGCCCAGCATGTCATGTCCTCTGCTGTCTCTATGTTAATTGCCTTCCAGTTGCAAAGTTGTGGAACTGCAGCCCTACTGCAAGAATCGTCCAAATCAATCTGCCACCATAAACCACCCTTGAGTGCGAATTCCTCGAAATCTACAAATGGACATGCATGCTCCTTACTGATTCTTGTAGATTGGCCCCCACGTCCTCAGCCAAGGTCCAGGCACCGCCTAACCTTCCATCGCCAGCACCTGCCATGTTAGACATAGCGACTGTTTCAGGAGCAGCACTACCAGCATTGGCTTGTTTGACAGCGCAATTTCCAGCACGTCATCATAGCAGATAATTTCCCCCCATCACAGCCGGTCGTTTTGGCTGACCGCTCCCCCCTGTGTCCCCGGTCAGTCATTCTGGCCATCGTCAGCGCCTTCGGCATGGCGCAGGCCCTGCAGGTAAAGTTCAACCTCGTCACCCAGACGCTTCCCTTCCTGCTGCTGGGCCTCGGCATGGACGATGCCTTCATAATCGTGGGCGCCTACCACCAGACGGACGCCTGTCTGGCAGGAGAGGAGCGCGTGGCGCAGGCCATGCGGCGGGCGGGGTCCTCCATCTTGGTGACGTCCATGACGGACTTGGCCGCATTCCTCATGGGCCTGTACACGGAGCTGCCCGCCTTAAGGGCATTTGCGGCACATGCCTGTCTGGGAATAACCTTCGACTTCATATTCCAGGTGCGGCGTCCAGCAATCGATTTTGAGCTGACACGAGTCCTGAGACTGCATTTTGCGGTTGCGTTATGCGGTTTTATCGATCGACATGATGTGCGGCGAGCGTGCTCATCAAGAGCGAATTGTTTAGAATGCCTTCAGAAATGCAATTTCAAATGTGCTTTTGTGTTGCTTACATAATACTTCTTGTGCATTCAAATAGATCGCTGTACAGAGTACCTGGTACAAAGGGAGAATAGTATATCAAAGATTTTACACGTAGCGTCAATTTGACAGTAAGCTCAGACCGCTTTCCTCTCTTCCCTTTCCTCTTGGCCAATCCTTATGTCATCGCTAGAATGACTCAGCAGCATTACCAGATATACAGATGCTCTTATAGTTATTTTCCAAGAATGCAAGCAGCTAGAGTTGCAGCGATTGTAGAAAGTTTAAAGATGAGGTGTTGAAGGCCATTGCAGGCAATGGGAGGCAACCTCGGGCGCTCTCAAATTCGGCTCAATTGCTGTGGATTTCATAAGATTAAATGCTTTAGGGAGGTTGTAAAACAACTAATAACTTGTTTGGCGTTCATCAACGGCGGTTTGGCCGTTCCCTCAGCTTATGGGGATTTTGTGGCAATTACGTGTCTCTCAGCGTCACATGTCTGGACCCCTATACCCTCAGCGAAAATGTGACGTTAAGCGTGCCAAAGTGGCATAACGCATTCCCCTATAGGAACAAGAAGCAATCGTTTAAAAGGGGGGAATGAGAAATCAATATGCATCATAATTCGAAATGCAAGACACAGCTTCTGCAAGACGCAGCAAACGCGATTGGATCCCATGTGTTTGCAGCTCGCTTTTGATGTATTTCCTCTCCTTTGCTTGGTTGTTGACACCCTTTCCCGAATTGTGTTTCATGAAGATTTTTTAGCATTTTCACCCATTTTACATGTGCAAGAATCTTAAAAATCCCGGAAGCTCTCATAACGATTAAAAAAGGCTGTAAGCTGGTCGTGAATCTTAAATAATGGAAGGTTTTGTGAAATGGGCTGTGGATGCGCTGGAAAGCGGGCTGAGTATACATGCAAACGGAAGCCATAGCACAAAATTTCTTCGAATAATTTCCTCTTCTTCCTGTATGCACTGGTTCCAACACTTTCAATTCCTTTAGGTCACCTTTTTCGTTGCGTTCCTGGCTCTGGACGCAGAGAGGGAGAAACGCGCACTGAACGGGGCCCCAATGTGGGGGTTTCAGTGCTGCTGCTGGAATTCCGAGTCAAACGGAGCTGGCCCGCCAATTGCCAACATGGCCGCAAAGAGACGAGACGAAGAAAAGGTATGGCAATGTTTGATGACGCAATTGCATTGGAACGAGCGACTCATCTCACCACTTTTGCATAGAATGGTACTTGAAGCAAAAGAAACTCGCAGGATGCAAACAGCGAAGATCAGGCAAGATATCGATGTCCAGTTACATGTTGCCCAACGCCTATTGTTTTCTTGGACGTGTATATGGACTGTCCAAGTCAAATGCGAAAGAATCAATGTGCAATCGGCAACTGGATTTCCTATCTTGGCACACTTGTGTTCATAGGTGTCATTATGCGATGGGATAAGTCATTGATGCATGTCGTCAAGGCAGCATTAACTGTTACAGTCAACGTTTGTCACACTCCCCGAAATTAAATTTGACAATTTTGAATTTCGGTGCTCAGCATGTTTCATTGTTTTAGCGGAGAGTGATCACTTCACAACCATCATCGTGACAACAAAATCTAAAGACGCAGTTTGCGGCGTCTGCAGGCTGAAGTACAAAAATCCCCTGAGTCTGAGAGCGTGCCAGTGTTTGCGATTCCGGACATTGACAATGTCTGTAATGAACAACTTTCAGCTGGTGGGAAAAACTGGAAGCGAAAGATATTCGGCAAAGGTGACTATGACCCTGCAGAGCCTTCTCTCTCGACGAGGTAAGTGACTTTGGCTGGGTTGTTCAAAAGTCCAGATCTTTCAACATCGTTATCCTGCTGCTGCATCATTGTTCGTGTGTCTTGCTGCATTACACAAAATAGAATGATGAAATTCCCACCACAAAGTTGAATCGATTGAATCAGTGAGAGGAACTATGGCCTGTGGTTTTGACCTTGCAACTTTGGTGAGTGGTAAGATTTCGTCTGGCAGTCAGTAAGAACTGGGGCTTCTAACCTCTGAGCTCTTGCAATTTCAACGACATGACAAAGATTCTCACAACTGAACAAATGAGAAACAACTGCCAAAGTGAGCTGCCAGCCAAGGGTTAGTGGGCGGTGGAGTATTGGATATCGTATGCAACTCCCAAATATTATTGTATCTGAGATTCATTCCACTGAGATACGAGCGCCGTTGCTCATGGCCAGGCGGCATGTGGATTATTGCATCTCTCTGCATGCAGGGAGCCTCACTTGTAATTGGAACTGCCCGGCGTAAAAATCCAGATTGTTTGTTGAACCTATTAATAGGTCCATGAATGTATAGATTTGCGTGAACGGATGAGCGTGTGGGGATAGATAGCATGGATGCAAATACATGCATATGAGGGCGCATTGCCTATCAGTGCCGAAACCTGCAAGGCGCTTTCGAGGTTTTCCAGCATGCTCTCTGTTGTTTTCTGATGCAATCGCAACCCATTTTTATGAAGAACCTCATTCATGCTTTTTTGCTTTGGCAACCACCGGTTGTTGATTGCCACCAGTGGTGTGCGTGCACTACCGTTGATAAGCTGGGCACAAGGCATTGCATTTCGTGTGTCGCGACTGTAACGGTCGTGCCATGTGACGATTTTGGCAGATTTTATTGAGTTTTGCACGGACTTTTGCACAACACCTTGATCAGGAATGTTCGCATTGTACGACTTGATTCCTCTCTATTGAGCCCAGAGTGGAGATGTCATTTCAGGCAGCAATGTATCCAGACAGCCAGGCTTGGCAATGGCAACTTATGGTTGAAGTTTCGATCGCTCTTGCATTGCAGAATGATCGGCTGTTGGCTCCCGCAATGGACTCTGCACCCGGCTGGCAAGGTGGCCGTCATTTTGGCGGAAGCTGGACTCCTGGCTTGGGCCATCTACGGCCTTACAATGGTTCGCATGGATTTCAAAGGGCGGGAGTGGTTTACGCCAAAAGACTCGTGGCTGCAGAATGTATTCAAGGCAAGACATCGATGTGGATGCCCATTGCCAGTGTGGAAAGCTGCCAAGAAAAGGATGTTTGTCCAATAGAAAAATACTGAGTTTGTCCCATCTAGAAACAGAGCATCTGGCCCGGGCATTATTATCCATTGTTCAAAAGAAAGCTATCGTGTGTGCAATTTCCGTCGCTCCTGTGTCAAAAATCAGTCTGAATTGCAGCTCGATGCGTTGTGCATGCCGTGGTTCAGGGCACAACGGCGTCAACCCTAATGCACTGCCATTGAACCTGCCGTCGATTAGGACTCAAGCGCACAAGTTGGTTTCGTAATCAAAATGTCTTGCGGCTAAGTCTCCATAGACGATTCATCTCATCGCTTGCATGCACCAAACTGCATCCATACCATGCCATTGGCCCAAGCCATACCTGAAATGTGCTGTAATGGAGACCCTCTTCAAATAACCAATGGAAAACATAGGAACCTCGGTATTCATTCCTTGCTCCGTACAACACCTGGTTTCAGTGTCTTTTTTTCCACCATTTTTGTATGTGGCGATTCACTTTGTCGTGATGTTGGTGCTAAACTCAAGTTTACAGTGGTAGATCCTGTCAAGGTGTAGAAATCGTTCCTTGTTGTGCAGATTCTGCGCGTCTGGGGGCAAAATTCACAAATCGATGGCAGCTGCCCAACAGACACCCAACTGTTTGCACGTAGTGGCCTCGTTCCAACTGATGGCAAATGAAAGGGGGGCGATTTTCAGTAAGCCAACGTGGCGGTAATGCAGGAAGACATTGTGGATCTAATTCTAAGTTCTTCTTCTGTTATTTTTTCACTGACGTCCATGTCCTGCATGGCAATGCAGTTGGAGGAACTCTATTTTGCCGGGGACTCCACAAAATTCCAAGTTTATACAAAAGAGGCGCCGCCAGACCTTCCCAGCTACTACTACTTCCAAGATGGCCTGGCTAGGCTGGAGGCTGATCTCATGGCCAACGACAAATATGTATCTGATAGTCCACCAGTGCGCAGCTGGTGAGACGCCATGGGGAGTGGGTGATGTGCCAATGGGATAAGAATTTCCCATATCCAGGATACGGATTGCCCGTATTCTCGACATGTACACCCTCGATTGTGTAATTTTTCGTATATCAAGCTCCCTTGCAATGTGTGGGCTAATTTAGATACGAGTGGCTGTACATCAGCACAACTTTATTGCAATTTGGTTACTTGCGCAGGTACGGAGACTTCTGCAGCTCGTTGGAGCCAGGCAGCCGAAACTGCAGCCAGACTCGCCTGCTCAGCCCTTTAAATTTTGACCTCCAGGTGCACAACTTCACCCTCACCCCACAGGGCGCCGTCCATCGCCCAAGCCTCGTCTTCGACCCACCTTTCTGCCTTCCGGACGCCCGCTGCAGAATCGTCTCTTCCAAACTCGAAGGCTTTTCAAAGGACGTGGTGGATGGCCAATACGCCGTGGACCTCGTGGACAGCCTGAGGGAGACAGCGCGGGGGGCCGTGCCGGAGCTGCGGCCCATCGCCTACGACCCGCTGTTCCTGTTCTACGACGGCTTCAGGGTGATCCAGTGGGAGACCGTGCGGAATGTGGTGCTGGCGGGCGTCGCCGTGTTCGGCATGTCGCTGGTCATTCTGGCGAATGTGTTTGCGGCGGCGCTGGTGCTGGGCATGGTCGCCGCCACCGACGTCATGCTCCTTGGTGAGTCACGCGCCAGGTGTGGACGGCGTCAGATAGATTTCTGGTCTGGCTTGATGCGCTCGCCATTCGAGGGCCAAATCGGCCCGCTAAAGTGTTTGTATCCCTATCGGATGCCGCTTAGGCGTGCCGGCGGATGCAGACGACCCCACATTTGAACCAGTCCTTCCTTCACAAGATTGCAGCGGTTCCCGTTCCTATCAAACGGGAACAACATTATACTCTGATTTTCTGATTGTGTGAACAATTCAAAAACTACGCTGTATTATCCTTTAATTCGCCAGCTATGTAAAGGACCCATATGAGGGTGTTGCCTCGTGGTGCCTTCTTGATCTAGACTTGAACCAGTGTATTGCTTTAGCAACGCGGGCAGTGGACCAGTGCCGTGCTGCTCCCGTTCACCCGCGGTTGTGATCCGCCAGGCTGGATGCATTACGTCGATCTGACGTTCAACCCCGTCACTGCCGTGAACGTCGTCTTGGCGGTGGGCATCGCTGTGGACTACTCTGCCCACGTGGCGCACACCTTCCTTGTGGCACAGGGCAGCCGCCAGGAACGCGCGCGGGGGGCGCTGCTACAAATCGGCGGCGACGTCTTCTCTGGCGCCTTCACCACATTCCTGGCGGTTGTCGCCGTGGCGGCCGCAGAGCACTACATTTTCCAGGTCTCTTTCAAAATGTTCTTCGCCATCGTGATCTTCGGTGTCTGGCATGGCCTCGTGGTGTTGCCGGTGCTGCTGAGCCTTGTTGGGCCTCCCCCTTATGTTGGGATACTCGAGGAGCGACAGCCGGACGCACAGGAGTGGAGAACAGAGAGCTTGGGGACCATCGGAGAGAGCCAATAGGACTGTGACGCGAACGCAATCACAAACCGTTGATTCAATAGAATTCAATCCTTTTGTTGGGCGGAAGGAAATGCTTGTCACAACTCGAGAAGTGGGCAATTGAAGAGAAGTGGGCGGGATGGAATCGCTCATAAGGGATTGATTGGGTCTGTACAGTACCGATGTACCCACAGAATGAAGGGATTGGGGATTCATTGATTGCAGGGATCGGTTGAAAGGGGGCAGGGACTGCACCGCGGTCGTACCATGATGGGACTGAACACTTGCATTTGGTCATGAGAACCCACTAGCTGCATAATGCATTTGATTGCATCTCGATGTCCTTGCTTCGCTCCCCATGTACATATTCGGGAATATGGGCCTGTGCGGTAGTGTCCTGGTTTGCCCTCGCTCCTTCTGGAATTTCAAGCAATGGAGAACTCCGAGCATCCAATTGATTAGTGTGCACAGGCACCTGCTACGTTCGCTGGCTCTTGAGCCACCAGCCAGAACGGCGGTCGTCGAGAAAACTCACCAGCCTCACTGTTACTCTGGCTGCCACTGCCTGGTTCTCAGTGCAGGCGATTCTGGTGAAACTGCGTTATAAATGTACTAACTTCTGTAAAAATAAAGGCGCGACAGCCAACAATTGGGAAAGATTCCATCAATTATCCCCAGGCGCACGATCTGATGGTGCAAGGGCCATGGAGGCGCCACCACGCCCTGCCCGACCTGAAGAGATGATACACCTGGAAGTGAAGCTTTACTCCAGCTCTGACGCCAATTTGTTGTAGAATACAGCGAAATCCCTGTCATGGTCTCGCATGGCTCGCAAGACAGTTGCCTCATGTGCGGCTGGCACAAAACTCAGCACGGCATCGTGTCCTATTTCAGCATGCACCTTCTCGTCTGCACCACATCAAAGACCACTGATGATAACACACGTCTTTCAAACAGATATTCACTGGCATCAGTGCTGCGAGCAAGGGAACAAGGCGACTTGCATCCCCTGGCTGCAGACTGCATGACTGGTGCGGTCGATAAAAAAAGGGATTAGGAGTGTTTCTCCCACTGTGCGCATGGCTAACATAAGCCTCCCGACAATGACACTACACGGCATGCCAAAAGATGGAACTTGCTTGCAAACGCTCTGCGGCACAGAGCTAACTGGCCAAATGCCATCCCTTGTTCGGTAACCCTGATCAAGTCCCAACGGCCCTGTCTACAGTTAG